TTCATAATATCATGGCTACACATTCCCCTTAGCAGGTGATGGGGAATCATCATGGAATAGGTTTCAAGTCATGCTAACTGCATTCCATCCAGCGGACAGCAACTGTGATTTACCTCATAATTTCTGTACTAACTCCTGTTAAGATGCTAATAAAGCTCCTCAGTTTCCTCTAATTGTACCTCCACTTACCTGTCCACAGGGTCCCCAGACATTTTCCCATATAATCCACCCCATGACTATAGTCACACAAGCTTCACAATAGCCAAATAGAGTTTGAGAATATTTCATGCTTTGGTACCGCGTGGATTGTCAAGTATTAGTGGGGGTAGTTGGTAAGCTAATTGTTTCATAATCATTCAAACTTTAACATACAATGCAATTATTAGAACGAAAAGCAAAAGGAATAACATCCATAAAATGACAACAGAGTGAAGCACACGGTTGAGAATTTCAGTAGCTGTAGGTGACCATCCAAAAAGAGTGTCCCACCATTGGTGTTCTCCATCTTTCTTCACCTGCTTCATCACACAATGTATTTCTTCCATGTCATGATGGATAGTGAATCCCAAAACTGGGCAAGGAAATAAAACTCTCTAGTGAGACAGCTATAGAGCAGGTATTTGTTTATTCAGTGCTGGGAGTGAGGGGGATCTTTCCACCAAAAACTCACTTGATCTTCTTTAGCCTTCAATTACATTGAAAAAGTCCTTCCGCACAGTGTCACAATTGCAACATATCATTAACATATTCATATTTGCATAAAGCTGTGTCATGGTTATACAAGAGTTTGTTTCTTTCACGCATGTGTCAGTTCCTTCTGTGGTGGTCGTCAGTCTTGTGGTAGTCTTTTGATGAAGGCTTCTGTAATCTTCCTCATGTTTGAACTTTTTACCTCTATCTTAAGCACATGCCTGGTGCTTCTTGTTTTTTTTCAGTCTTACCTGTTTTTAGCTAATTCTGCAGTTTGCAAGTTTTGTTAAAACTTGCTATCTTGCTCTTAATGGCATTTGTTGTCTCGCTTGCCCTGCTATCTTGCTTTCTTTGTTGTCTTGCTTGCTTTACCTGCACATCTTGTTACAATGTTACTCATGGTTAACATTTGGTTATATACCACTTAGGATTCAACAGTAATCAGTCCATTCTCTTGGGCTTGTTTCGGCAACTGTCTCAGGTCTGTGTGTTGTAACAGTTCCTTTACCAGTTTGAGGTTCATAGCAATCAGAGTAGGCTGCAAGTCTTGAATCAGAGTATAGTTAGATTCCAAAAATTGATGGAATATAACAGGAGCTAAATAACTAAAATTGTATCCCGTAACTTTGATAAAGTTACAAGCACAAATATTAGAGTGATTACTTGTGTCATGGATTGACACTGGCACAGTGACAGTGCTTCTATGAGAGGTGTATTTTCTAAAATGGTTACTGTGAGATGTGACGTGGGAACAGAATAAAGTAGGTTTTAACTTGGGAATGGAGGGAAAAAAATAACACTTTATTAATTTATATAGACACAAAAGGAAGGGGAAAACTACACACACACAACAATTTACAATAGAACACTTTCGAAACACTCTTCTTCTTTCTAGTCTTCTAATATTCAAATCTTCTTTAACATATTAATTTTCAATTTAATACTTTCTTTTCACACAAGCACTTCTTAGTCTATTAGGAGAGAGGAGCTTTTTTTTTCTATTATGGGCCTCTCCAGGAAACACAGTAGAACTTTTGTGCTTTTATGTTACACACGGCAGCTGCTCGAAGAGAAATGTGCTATGGTGACTATTTTCTTTCTATGTTTAGTGCTCTTACTATTGTTTATGGATCTAAACTACTCCTTGGGTTCTTTTTAAGAATGTTTTTTGCTCAGTTTTAAGATGTGGCTGCTTTTTACTATTTGGGACACTTGTCTCTTCTATATTCACTCTCCTGGGGCTTGGGGTTCAGGAATGGAGATTCTTTGCTGAAGGCCGAGGGTTTTACCACACCCTCCCCCTAGTCTCTGTTCTTTTTGCTTTTTTTCGCGGCCTTATTATTTCTGGCGTCTGGCCAGCCGCCTCTCCCAAGGTGCACCCCTTCTCCTCCTGACTGCTTTATCTTTCTCTCCGGGGGGGCTGCCTAAACTATCTCAGGAACTCTTCCACTTCTGCATTTTGCAGCGGCTCTGGCTTCTCTTTCTCAGGCCGCAGGCTTTTCTCCTTCCCCCACCCAGACACAGCTGGGCAGGGGAGAGGATCCGATCTGCTCACCTGCCGGATTCTAAAGAGGAAGTCTTTCTGGGAGTGCTCTGCTTTTAACCCTTGTGTGTTCTCAGAGGCGTATCCAAGTCCCCAGTGGCTACACCAGGTGCTAATCTGAAATTTGGCCACTGATTGGTTTGACCATAACTTCCCAACCCCTTACTTCCGGGTCAAACCATGACAATCCACCTCTCGCCTCTGAGAACACACATTTCATTCCAACACATTAACAAAATATTAACAAAATTACATTCAAGACAATTCTACTTACAACAATGACATACACCAAACCTCCACCCCTAGATTTATCATCAATCTACTTTACAACCCAATGCATGCTTTGCTCTTATTCCTTTTGATCCATCTCACAGTTTCCATTTCCTCACTCACTTAAACTCGATTCCCGGTCAGGGAACCAATAATGTCATGGGTTGACACTGGCACAGTGCCAGTGCCTCCATGAGAGGTGTATTCCCAAAAATGGTTACTGTGAGATGTGACCCAGGAACAGAACAAAGCAGGCTCTACCTTGGGAATGGAGGGAAAAAAACAACACTTTATTAATCTACACAAACACAATAGGAAAGGGAAAACTACACACACACAACAATCTACAATAGAACACCTTTGAAACACTCCTCCTCCTCCCCCCAGTCCTCTGATATTCAAATCCCCTCTAACATATTAATACTCAATCCAATACCCTCCTTCACACAAGCACCCCCCAGTCCATCAGGAGAGAGGAGCCTCCCTCCCCCCCATGGGCTTCCCCCGGGAAACACAGTAGGACTTCTGTGCTTCCATGTCACACACGGCAGCTGCTCGAAGAGAAATCTGCCATGGTGACCATCTTCCTTCCATGTCAAGTGCTCTCACCACTGTCCATGGATCCAAACTACTCCTTAGGTTCTTTTTAAGAATGCTTTTCACCCAGTTCCAAGA